CAATTTCTTCTGACATTTCTTTCTCTACCTTGTATTATAATTCTCATGTATTTTGTATTTCCTACTAGACTGGAAACTTCTTGAAGCCATAATCTGTCTGATTTATCTTGATAACAGAACTCAGTAAAAGAATGCCTTGCATAGTGTAATGCAAAGTTATATGCATGTCTTATTTAACTTCCTCATATACAGTGCCCAGTGTTTATAAAACTAGTTTCAAAAAGATATAGTCATTCAGACAGCCACATTAATTAGGCTACTCAAGTAATACGGTGAATGAACATAAGCTTTGAAGTCAGACCCAAGTTACATTCTGGCTGAGCTATTTTTCTAACTCTGCAACTTTAGACAATTGCTTAACCCTTCAGATTCAGTTTCCTCACTAGTACAATAGTGATAATAGTACTTTGTAGGCTTGTTGAGAGGATGAAAGTGAGGCAATTTCCTTGGAGTGCTCACTTAGCATACCTGATGATTGTTAAGTAATACTATTACTTAACAAATGATAATTGTTATCATTACTGAAAGCGCTTCATTTAAAACTGAATGGTATTTTTCAAAAATGTGTATTTTCTATTGCTCTAGTTGTAATTTTCTAAGCTGTTGTCTTGTCAAAAGGGGATACTAAATCTCCAAATTGTTCTTGTATGAAAGGCCTCTGTAGTGCAGTAACTTCAGTTGATGGATTCAGACAAGTACTCTCAATGGGTGAGGTTACTCCCTCGTAACTTGGAATGTGGTAGAAGCAACAAGTGTGCCTTTGTAGTGCTAGAGATGTAGAAGTCAGTACTTTAGAAACAATTATATTTCAAGGGTTTTTTCCCATTTAAGACTGTAATATCTCTCATCCTTTCCTACTGTTAAATGGTGATTCTCTTAGTTCATATTAACTGTCATCCTTTATATTTATGTAAACTCCTTATGCTTAATAATTAGATAGTTGAATGAAACATACTGAACAAGTGGTTACCTGTCTTTATGAATTTATATTTTTAATAAGAGACAAGACAAACTTGTGTTGAGACTTGCTTTTAGTTTCCATTGAAATCTTGCAAAGTAGGTTGTAATGAACGGTATCTTTTACATCATTTTCTGGGCATTCATAAGAGAGAAAATCGAAGATAAGAAAATTTAACACTAGCTCAGCATGGTTCTAAGGAGTGGACAGCGGAGATTTTGAATTGGGTGGTAATGGTGGTGGTGAAATGGTCAATGCGCATGGAAGGCACAGAACAGGCAAGAATGAGAGGAAAAAGGAACAGGGTTAATAAAAGCTATTTGCTAAAATAAATTAGAGTCACTATGTGCTGTATCCTTACTATATGACTATTTGCCCAAGGTCTCAGTGTTTAGTGGTGGAAACCTATCTGGATATAAAGCCAGTGGAGAGTAGTTGGAATAATGTCTCTTACACGAAATAAGAAACTGTTGAAGCACCACTTCTCTTGTAGAGTTGAAGAAATCAATTAGCCAAACTTTCCATTTAAATAGACAGTGAAGCTAATGATGGTTGACAAACTTCAATTCTTTTCTTGGGAATGAGAGGGAAGTGAGAATTGGATGGTAGTGAGAGACATGGTGAGAAAATATGATCTGAGATAACGATATAAGACATTTAAATGGCTAGGGGTAGGCAGAGGGGAGAAACAAAAACTATATAGCTCTCAGTCACTTAGCATTGACCTAAGCTACATTTCTGCAAATCAATTCAGACTTCTAAAGCATAAATTGAGCTATATCCTAATTCTTAGAATGCATTAACAAACTCATTAATATAAAACAAAACCAGACCACCTCCCCCAGAATTCATCAAGTATCAGCAGTGGTCTTGTGCCACTTTACTTGGTCAAATGAATTCATTTGCAGGTAGATGTTCATTGATCACCAGTTTGTGCAAGGCACTTTTCTAGGATAAAGATCATAGCAGGACACACACACACACACACAAATAAGGAAACAGATACACTTCAGATAATTAGTTATTCAGAGACTTGACAGTTATGTGAAGAAACTAGATTATGTGGACTGGGAAGGTCCTCCTGGGTAGGTTAACATGTAAGCTAAGACCTGAATAACAAAAGTAGCCATGTAAGCCCAATCAAAAAGGAAGCAATTCTAGGCAGAGGGACTAGCTAGTGCAAAAGTAGGCACAGGCCTGTGCTCTCCCCCAAGGACTTTAAAAAACAAGGCGAAGGAGGGGATGTAGGTTGGAATGGAGAGGCTGAAGGGCAACATCATCTGTGTCTGGCACTCCCATAAGGGATACCCATATTTAAGGACACTGCATCTAAATTGGTTAAAACGATATGCCCAAAGGTCATGTGAATAGATTTCTTTGATATATACCACAGCTGCTGCAGTGCAAGGATATGCTCTTCTGTGATTTTAAAGTTTGGGTGCCTTGTATTAATGCTAATGTATTTATCCTTTTTGAAGTTACATCGCCAGCCCTGAAAGCACAGTATTCCTTAGTACCTAGTACTTAGTACCTAGTCCAGTGTAATAGTGTAGTGATTAAGCCTCAACTAGTGAATCAAGCAAGACTAAAGGGATGGCTTGTGACATCCTAACACCTCATTCCAATTGGCACCCTTCTCTGGACCACCAGGGTCCCTCCTACTTTGATAATACTTCTGGTTACACAAGTTCCACATCATCTCCTTCCCTCTCTATCAAAATGGTATCTTCTTAGCTTCAAATTCCCAGGTCCCTACTGCTTCCGCAGTAATCTGTACTCTGGAATTTTAATCTGTGCTAATGCTTCAGTGGGGTTAGAAAACATACAGCTCCTTTTACAGTCAAGCCATGAGCTCCTTTCTGTTTCAGGTCTGTTTTCTAAGCATCTTTCTTCTTGCAGGCAGGCTCCAGGGACGTGGCCTGCTTACCGCTCTTCCAGCAATCCCCCATCTACCTTATTTCCAGGGAGTTTCATCCATGCTTGTCTTTGGGAAATGTTATCTCCTGGATTCCTAATGAAAAGGCCCGTGGCAATTTGGAAACTATGATTGTTGCTTGCTGACTTCATCTTTCCTACACACTTTAGCCTGTCTTTGCAAACTCTTATCCAAACAGATGTTACAGAACAAGTGTATGCGGGAGAACTGAATTAATATTGGTCATGGTCATGTTTGTATTCCTTTTCTTTGGCTAAAGGCAATGGACTTAGCTAGAGTGGCATTAACTGCAAAAGATGTGAAGGTCTAGGGAATGAAACTAAATTTAAATGACTTTAATGTGGATTCCATAATAGCCTCATATATTGGGTTGTCGGAAAAGTCATGACGCATTTTTGCAACAAAAAACATAGAAAAAATATGTTATGACTTTTCCGACAACCCAATAGAATATCTCTATGACCACATAAATCATATTCTAGGTATCTACTTCCCCACAATAGCTCAAAGATCTATAGGAAGAATGTAATCAGGTGCCTATGAATGATTCACTCGGTTGTGACTGCCTTCAGTAGGTATGGCATACAATAAAAGGATACAAGTACATTCTTCTGGCTTTTCTCCATAAGGAGTTGAGAATAGACCTAGATCTAGGAAAGACTATCAGGCATTCATTTGTCTTTTGAGCAATGCATCCTATTATTTTTATGGTTTACATGGGCATTCCAATCCAACAATATTAACAAATTTGTTTTACAGTCTTCTAATTATTAATGACAAATTCAAGAAACAATTCCGCAGTCAATGTCTATGACCTAATTCTTTGTATTTTCCTTTAACTTAAAAAAATACGTACCATCTTTGGTACTGTTGATTGGCCCAATCTTATAAATTGTTAAAATCTATGATGCAAAATAGTTATCAATATTTTTGATTACTACAAATAAGCCATGACATTAACATGTGTTTTATATTATTGCAAAGTGGAATAGTTTTCTATTAATTGAGTAAAGGTGTTATGGTTAAAAATAAAATTTACAAGTTGAACACTGCTTAGATTGACTAAAAGCTACCAACAGAAGTGCCATATGTAACATGATTCTTATTCGGAAAATATGTATTACACTACTGAGATCATTCTGACACAAATTTAGGGTAAAATACACATTCAAACCTGAATTTAAGATAAATTAGAAAAAAAGACTTTCCAACTGTTGAGGTTTGAATTTCTCTAATAAGACAAAATAGGGTTCAGAAAACAGCATATTTCTCTCTTTTTATAACATTTATAAAGGTCCTTAAATAAAACTATTAGCTACTGTAGCATGCTTATTTTTGGGTATTATATAATATAGGTCACCACTAATCTCAGGAAGCTTTGTGTTCAATGGATCATGAACATGCAGTTTTATTATGAACTATCACAGAGGTTACTGCAATTGTTTGTTTGTTTGTTTTTAGGAAGAATCAAATTATTCTAATATAAACATTATTTGTAATAAACATTTGTGTTATGTTTTTTAGACTAGAAATTTAGAAGAATTTGTTTTCCACTTTTGCTATCATCTAACAATTTGCAACACCAGGAAGGAACCAAATCTTAAATCTACGTTCTGTTTACCTAGTGTGTGGACTCTTAAAGAGAAATACCATTTCAGCACTATGCTTAGAAAAGTGTGGGAAATGGAGCAAAAGCTTAATTCCATTTTTTTCCTGCCTTTTACAATTAGAAGATTAATTTTTAAACGTGCACTTTTCTACAGGGATGAACAATACATCCCTTTTATTCACAACATGTTTGTATTTGCTAAACAAACTTTTTACCTCCTATTCCATTTCTGGGAAACAAATTAAGGGACTTAAGCAGGGGAAAGGTGTAGGATCACTGGACAATTGTTCCTAGATACAGACATTAACTCCGTGCAGAATGCGTGTTGTCTTCATTAGATCAGAAGCTCCACGAAAGCAGGGGACTGACCACCCCAGTCTCTACTGTTTCCCCAGGGTACTGCACATGGGAGAATTCAAACATTTGTTTAATGAATAAATAACTCACATCATGAGAAAGCCCACAAAGCTTTCAGTTCACAAGTAATAGGCAATGAATATTAGAAAATTTAAAATTTTTAATAAATGTGCTTTGCTCACAAAATGTGAAAAAAATACAACAAACACAAACATACATTTTCAGGTATGCCATCTCCCACCACCTAGCAACTATGATATAAACCACTTGATCCTGAAGAATCCAACCAAATGATTTGTTTTTGAAACACCAAATAATTTTAAACAATCCTATTGTGAACGTAACAGGAAGCCCCTTAACTTCTTTATATCCAAATGAAATCATTCTCAAGAGTACCCATACAGTACTAGAAGGAAGGTTCTATTAACTTCTCTTGTCATTACACATATAATCTGGCACCTAGCCACATGACTGCTTATATTTTAATACATACGTTGAATTGGCTTTGGTGGAATATGTATTAGTTTAAATCCTGTGTCAACATAATTTGAATAAGCTGAATTTACAGTAACAAATGGTATTTATAAATTCAAACAAATTTATATTAAGTGGGAGTATAGGTTTTATAAAGAGATTTTTCTGTAAAGTACTACTTAAAATACATCATGCACATTTCGGAGCATAAGCAGAATCAACATCTGTAAACAATCAGAAGAATGTATAGCACCAACATTTTAGCTGTAACACGAAGGCTGACTCCAAGGTCGTACTTACACAAGCCTTTTTTCAAAAGCACTGTTTTCATTTATTTTCAAAGCATTTTCATTTGGTATATTGTTTTCTTTGTCCTTAACAGTATTTAGTCAAATCAAAGAAAACAAACAATATGGTAAAAGAAGTACTACCAAAACAAGTTTTGTGTTATCCTGAACACAGTGGTTTTTTTCTTCTTCTTTTGGGGGAACTACAAGACTTGACCCACAGTGCTTAACTGGAAAGAAAAGTCAAGCCTAATTACTAAGGTATCTTATACTATTGAAAGTAAATGAAAAATTTCAAGTTATTTCTGGCATATTTGAGCAACCAATATTTACTGCATGTAATTAACTGACCTAGGTTAATTACAATCTCATTACTTTCATTAATTTAGAATGTGAAATATCAGGAATACACTCAACCACTTATATCTTAAAGGATAAATTTTGCATTTCTAAGTAAAGTTTTACATTCAAAGTTAACTACAGCAATTCATAATAAGCACAAAAACATCAGTTTACCAGAGTAAAGAAGTACAGTTTATGAAATTTAGGGTCAACTATTGAAAATGCAAGTTTACTTTAAAAACACACACACGTACATTAATCATGAAATCTGAAACTGATATTTCAGTGCAAAAACCTCAGTATGAGGTAATTTTAATGTAATAACCACTTGAAAAAAATCCACACAGTGGCACTCTTAAAAATGATAGTTTACATGACAATTGCTGGCTGACAAGACAATGTAGACTAAGTGTTTTTAGCTATTTAAACTAATTCTTGTCTTGTTTAGACATGTATTTCTCCTTAATCATTTGCTTCTGATTCAGAAACACAGAAAGGCATTTGTCAATGTGGAAAGGGAAAATTCCCACAGCCAACTAATGGTTTATATTTTCAAAGAAAATTTTTAGCTAGGATTTAGATAGAAATAAGAATACCGAAAGGTCGAAACTATTTTATGAGACTACCAGCAAAGGGTTAATTTTAAATTTTTTCTATATAATTTCAAACTTGTAGTGCAGCATTTCCCTAACGGAAAGGTGAGGACCTTTTATCAAGGTTGGTCTAGATAAAATATAAGCTCTCTTACAAGTGCAAACCCTTTCACAAAGGTGTTTCAGGTCACTATTGAGTATATATTGTTCCTTGCTTAAATAGAACATTTTGTAATGAAATCTAAATAAAAAGAGTAAAAGTGAACTCTCACAGTTAAATATACTTAACACCAAGGCCCAAATCAATAAGAAAGATGAAAATTTTACTTTGGCAATGGTGTTTATTGTACTGTGCTAATCAAATTACAATATATACTTTTGGGGAAATCTGTACCCCAATGTCTGATGTTGTAAAATGAGCAAGAATAAGGAAAAAAGCAACCTATTCTAAAAAATTTAGGAAATGTTGGATCATCAGACAAAACTGAATACAGAAAATGGCTTTCTGTAACAGATAATTTAGTTAGAAAATAGAGTAAGTGCATCACAAAATAACTAAACCAATCTATCTGTGTCACATTTAACTTGTGAATCATCCAAGTGAAGTCTACAGCTTTCTACTTACCTTAAAGTTTCTCAATGCAGTGGTTTAAAGTCAACATAGAAAAGACAGAAAAAAGAAGAAAATACATAGCAAATTACGCTTCATTTTTCACAATAACACTAAAGAGAAAAAGGTACCTTTCTGTGATATCTTAGTGCTAAATGCTAAAAGTAACAGTCACTCTGCATGAAACTTTATATATTCTATATAAGAATAAATTTTAAAATCCAGAAGCAGAAAAAAATAATAAACTCTGTAAACCTGTGTATTTCTCCTATGCAAACCAGATTTTAAGTACTGAGTTCATGTTAGTATTTCTGATTAGTGTAAGCAATTAGTTTAGGAGTCTGGACTGAAGGGGCCTTTTGCTTTTACATTAACTTAAAAGTAATATGGGATCTTCTAGCTCATAGAAAGGAATGGAGCTGGCTTGACTCTCTCCAGAATCTGAGTCGTAGGGAGCATCAGGGAGCTCTGTGAAGCCACAGGCTAGTTGTTCATCTTCTATATCTGATCGAACATAGCAGGAAGGGTTAGAATATTCCTCGTCTTCTATACTGTTGAAATCTTGAGGAATATATAACATCCCTGGGTAGTTCCTACTAACCAAGTCACTTGTGGTTTTTAGGGAGATTTTTCTAAATGCCATCAGATGCATATGTGAAAATTTTGAATACTTGAAACGTTTAAAGCCCAGGGACTCTATAGCAATCTTCCAGCTTTTCATCATCATAGCATGACGATTCTGATGGGAGGAATCAGGTGTGATGATAAGCAATAAACCATTTAACACCAACAGTTCATGGGCTTTCTTGCAGCAAATCCATCGCTGGTAAGGTGATGGAAAATAAGAAAGAAGCAGAGAGAAAACAACCACATGGAAAAGTTCTCCAGGAAGAGAATCTATAGGGTTTTTCAGCTGCTTCAAAAAGGCATCTACAGCGTCCTGTGCAAGCTGGAGTGGTTGCTGAAGCTGCAAGTTCAGGAAGTCACACTTATACACACTCTGCAGGAAGGGACAAAACCAGGTATAGTAAGAATTCCAAGATTAATTCCACCTTATTACAAAGATTTTACATAAGTTACTTCACAGCATTTCTATGTAATTTAAACTTTAACTGTGTACCTTTCCCTTCTAAATCATTCCATTTGTACACACTTATTCAACTCTTAGTCACAAAAATCTCAAAGAGGAATTTAAGCCCAGATAATTTTTAGTGGTCATTTAAAAAATGTATTTCTGTATAACAGTTAATTTGAAATTAGAAATAATTTTTAAGCATATATGTTCTTAAAAAATAATAAGGGCTTATTTGAAATTTAATTTGGGTAAGTGTTTACAGGAATGGTTTATTTCTAAACTTAGTCATATGTATATTCACTTCAACATTTATAGTTACCAAAACAGTCTAATACAAAAACAATTTTAAACCAGAAATACCATGAAATAAAGATGAATCAAAGATGTCAAAGAGAATAATGAAAGAGACATAAATTTGTAATTGCAAATACCCAAACTTTTTAAGGTCATGAAAAATATCTTTTAAACCATTAACTTTAACATTCCAAAAATAACTTTAATACTGCATTTACTTGATAAAAAGTTAATCCCGGGTTTGAAACAAACTACATATTAAATTTAACTTAGACAAGTGACCATGGGAAACACTGCCAGTAGAGGAATGAACAGCATCGTATAATTTGTTGAAAATGAAACCTGTATGGGAAGGATCCAGAATAAGCAAGCAGTTTTACAATTAGATAAAAATTAGTTACCTTCATCATATAATAGTTATTAATCAATTAACAAAGATGTGAGCTAATTCCTTAGTCCCTCATTCTTGTTAGTGGGTACACAAGCTGGTCACATAAGTATCTGAACTACCAATGGGGAAAGTAATTCATGAAGCTCTACTACATGGAAAAAGATTATTTTTCCTTCTTCCCTTTGCTTTTTTTGGATAACTTTATTGACGTATAACTGACATACAAACATAATTTAAACTGTACACTTCAGGTAAGTTTTTCATTTATATACTAGTGAAATCACTGCCACAATCAAGTTAATGAATACATCCAACACCCCCAAAAGTTTCCTTGTGTCCCCTTTATAATCTCTTTCTCACACCCTTCCTGCTCTTTTCTTGCCACTAGGCAATCACTGATGTGATTTCTCTCACTATTGATTAGCTTGCATTTCCTAGAATTTTATATAAATGGAGTAACACAGAATGATGTACTCTTATTTTGCCTGGCTTCTTTCACACAGCACAGTTATTTTGAGATTCATCCATTTTTTTGCATGTACAAGTATTGATAACTTATTCCTTTTTAATTGAGGTATCCTACTGGATCAAGGATATACCACAGTTTATTTATCCACACACTTGTCTGATCGTTTCTAGTTTTTGTTTATTACACCACTCAAGCTGCTATGAATATTCCTGTTTGTGTTTCAACGGACATGCTTTCATTTGTGTAAATATCCAGAAAAGGGGTGACTGGATCAATAGGTGTATGTTTAACTTTTAAAGAAACTCTGAAACTGCTTTCAAAAGCAGTTATATATTGGGTTGTCGGAAAGGTCATGACACATTTTTGCAACAAAAAACATAGAAAAAATACATAATGACTTGCCCGACAACCCAACAGTTTTACATTCCCAGCAGAAGCATATGAGAGTTCCAGTTTCTCTAAATCTTCATCAACACTTGGTATGCTAGCCTTTAAAATTTTGGTCATTGTAATAGGTGTGTAGTGGTTTATTGTGGCTTTAATTTGCATTTTCCTAATGAGCAGTGATGTTTATTTTCTTTACATGTACTTATTTGCCATCTGGGTATCTTCTGTGCTAAATTCTATTAAAATTTCCTGCCCGTTTAAAAATAATTTGCTTTAAGTTAAAAAAAAAACTGTTTTGTTATTATTGAGTTTTGAGAGTTCTTTATTCTGGGTACAAGTACATAATCAGATACATAACTTGAAAATATTTTTTCTCAGGTTGTGGCTTCTCTTTTCATTCTCTTAACAGTGTCTTTTGAAGGCAGATTTTTTTTAAAATTTTAATGAAGGCCAATTTATCAGTTTGTTCTTTCATAGACTGCCTATGGTGTCACATCTAAGAAATCTTTTCCTAATCCCACATCACAAAGATTATCTTTAATGTTTTCTTTTAGAAGTTTTGTAACTAGGTTTTTTCATTTAGGTCTATGATCCATTTTGAGTTCACTTTTGTATATGCTGTGAGGTATGAACTGAAGTTTTTTCCTTTTGTATATGGATATCTAATGGTTCTAATCACCATTTGTTGAAAAGACTATTCTTTCCATCTTGGTTGAAAATCAGCAGTCCCTAAATTTGGCCCTATTTGTGGACTCTTTATTATATTTCATTGATAAGATAATCTTGACATCAATAACACATTGTCTTGATTATTGTAGTTTTAAGATAAATTTTGAAACCAGGTAGTGTTTACTCTCCAACATTGTCCTTTTTAAAGGTTGTTTTAAATATTTTAGGTCCTTTGAATTTCCACAAAAGTTTAGAATAAGCCTTTCAAATTCTACAAAACAGCATAATAGAATTTTGATCAGGATTGCACTGACTCTATCATTGGGAGAAATTGACACATTAACAATATTGAGTTTTTCCATCAATAAAGTGGTGTATCTCCCCACTTATTTAGGTCTTCTTTAATTTCTCTCAATAATCTACAGTTTTCAGTATACAGATTTTCCCGCATCTTTTATCAGATTTATATGATATATATTTATATTCATATAAACACATGATCATCTATTAAATATTGCATATTTTAATACTCTTGTAAATGGTTAGTATATATAAATCAATTGATTTTTGTATATTGATGTTGTATCTTGCAACCTTGCTAAACTGATTTGCTACTTAACTGTAGTTTCTCTAGCTCAGGGAATAATCTAACAGATGATTAAATGTCATCTGTGAATAAAGACAGTTTTGCTTCTTCCCAATTTGGATGCCTATTAGTGCTTTTCTTGCTTTATTGTACTGGCTATAATCTCTGGAGAATGGTGAATAGATGTGGTGAGAGTAAATATCCTTATCTCCTTTTTGTTCTAGTTCTTGTGGTTAAAACACTTTTGTTTCACTAAGTATGATGTTAGCTGTAGGTTTTTCAGATACCCTTTGTCAGGTTGAGGAAATTGCCTTCAATTCCCTCTGTGAGTTTTTATCAGGAAAGAAACTTTTGATTTTTGTCAAATGCTTATCTGTAACTATTGAGATGATCTTTTTAAGTGTTTGACTCTGGTGAAACAATTGAGTGTTTTTTGAACATTAAACCAATCTTGCTCTCCTGGAATAAGTCAAACTTAGTCATGTTGTATAATTATCCTTTTTGAATACAATATACTAAAATTTTATATAAACATTTTTGTCTCTATTCATGAGGGACATGATGCATAGTTTTTTTGTTCTGTAGTGTTTCTGTCTAGTTCAGGTATCAGGATAACGGCCTCATAGAATGAGAGAGGAAGTAGTCCATTCATTTCAGTGTTATGGGTAACCTCTCTTTCATTTCTGATTTTGAGTCTTTCCTCTTTTTTCCTCAGTGAGGATAACCAGGGGTTTGTCAATCTTATTAATCTTTTCAAAGAATCATGTCTTTAGTGCATTAATTTTTCTATTGTCTTTTTATTCTTTATTTCATTTAATTCTGCTTTAATTTTTATTATTTCCTTCCCTCTAGTGACTATGGGCTTCACTTGTTCTTTTTGTAGTTCTTAAAGATGAACTGTTTGGTTGTTTATCTGAGATTTTTCTCGTTTCTTGAGGTTGGACTGAAATGCTATCAACTTTCTTCTTATTGCTGTTTTTGCTGCATCCCCAAACTTTTGATATGTCATATTGCCATTCTCATTTGTCTCTATGTATCTTTTGATTTCTTATTTCTTCTTTGACCCAGTGTTGTTTAGTAGCATGTTGTTTAATTGCCAGATATTTGTGTTTTTTCCAGCGTTTTTTTTTTTTTTTTGCCATTGATTTTCAATTTCAGAGCACTGTGTTTAGACCATTTGTTTGGTACGATTTCAATCTTCTTAAATTTGTTGAGGTACATTTTGTGCCCCAACATATGGTCTGTCCTTAAGAATGCTCCATGTGCACTAGAAAAGAATGTATATTCTAGTGTTCTGGAAATAAAATGATCTGTAAATATTGATTATGTCTATTTTGTCTAATATGTCACTTAAGGCCAAAATTTCCTCATTGATGATCTATCCATAGCTGTCAATGGGATATTTAGGTCCGCTATATAATTGTGCTTTTGTCAGTTTCTTCCTTTAGGTCCGTTAGTCATTGTTTTATATATTTTGGTGCTCTCAGGTTGGGTGCGTATGTATTGGTAAGTGTTATGTCTTCTTGATGCATTGTTCTGTTCATCATTATAAAATGTCCATCTTGATTTCTTGGTACCTTTTTTATCTTGAAATCCATTTTGTCTGATATAAGTATGACTACACCCATTTTTCTGTGGATGCCATTTTCTTGGGGTATTATTTTCCACTCCTTCACTTTGAGTCTTTGTACTTGAGATGGGTCTTCTGAAGGCAACATATAGTTGGTTCTTGTTTTTTAATCTATCCCGCTCCTGTGTCTTTTGATTCTTGAGTTCAGTCCATTTACATTTCAGGGGATTATTGATATATGGGGGCTTTCTATAACCACTGTATCTTTTGTTTTCGGGTTGCTCTGTGTCTCCATTGTTTCTTTTCCCTTGTGTTTCTGTCTCCTATTTTAACTTGGTGGTATTCTATGATCTTTGTTCATTTCCTCTTTTTTTATATAAAGAATCTCAGTAATAGATTTTTGTTTTGTGGTTACCATTATGTTTATGCAAAAAAAAAATGGTCATATGTACAATAAATAGTCCTTTTTCTTCTGCTTACATGTTATTTCCATTCACCTGTGCAAGTTCTATCTTTTTTCCCTCCATTTTTATGTTTCTGTGGTCACAAATTATCCCCT